GAGAGAGAGAGAGAGAGAGAGAGAGAGAGAGAGAGAGGGAGAGAGAGAGGGAGAGGGAGAGGAGAGGAGAGGAGAGGAAAAGTTTGTATCTGGAGTGAACAGAGAGAGTGGAGAGTGAAGTGCAGGGCAAGTGTTGGTTCCTGTTTGGGGAGAGGAAACACAGTTCAGGGGTGGCCTCCCTGCAAGCAGGGAAGTGAAGACCCAGAGGGAGAAGCTCCACCAAAGATCCAAAACCCAGGAGGGGAAGGAGGGCTGGCTACAGTCGGCAGCTTCACCCAAGACTCTGGGGGAAACAGAAGGAACTGGCTACTGGTAGAGAAGCCCTGTTCTGGGGGAAAACTAGGCAGAAGACCCTGAGAGAGGTTCTTCCCCCAATGCAGAAGGTGTTTGAGCTGGAAAAAAATCAAGCAATGCTGAGCACACTCCAGTAATCCCAGTCTAGTCTAGTCCAGTCCAGTCCAGTCCAGTCCAGTCCAGTCCAGTCCAGTCCAGTCCAATCCTTTCTTTTCTTTTTTCTCTCTTACCAAGCCCAGAAACAGGGAAGGGAGACAGAGAGGAAGGGGAAGGAAGCAGGAGAGATAGAAGGGAAAGTTGCTGATAGGGAAACCCGGGAGCCAAACCTGACACCAGGACTGTGTTGTTTAGCCCTGTTGTAAATAACTGTATATAGGAAAAAGCATAAAAAGCCTCCACTGTTGGGTGTTTCTATGTCCATTGCCACCTTTGCAAACCCCATCACATTGTGACAACCACTTAATCTACAAGGGAATGACCAGATTCATGCATTCAACTAAACCAAAATATGATTTGTTGGTTTGGATTTAGTTGTTCTTTAAACCAAATCTCTGCAGTTTCTAAACTATGATTTGGGGCTTAGTGTGATATATGAATGCAACCAATTTACACAGCTATTATTTTCAAAATCGTGACTTAATCATGCGTGAACCTAGACAATAGTACATTTTTGAAGAAGCCATTGTTAAGTTACTTACCCCTATGACAACATTTCCCAGAATTAGTAAGCCCTGAAAGCATCGCACACCAGTATCTCCTTTTGCCATCTTCAGTTTGCAGTGCAATCTAGAAAGGAATTACACATTCATTAATACTGCAGGTTCTCTCAAAAGTGCTGTCTTTTCTTCCTCTTTTGGGCGCTGAAAGCCACCCAACCTTCAACCGTGTCCTGGAATTTAAAAAAAGCTTCAAAGACTTCAAAAATCACAACAAAACAATCCTACAGTCTCTAAAATAATTTCTAAATTTACAGGAAAGAACTACCTATTCTCGCCTAATTAGCAAATAATGTGCTAATAAAGAACAATGAGACTGATTTCATAGTTTTGTGGGATAAATATGTAGAATATTGCCACCTATATAAATTATGCAGATTTAAAATGGCACCCATCAGTTAGCCTATATAGCAACCAAACTGAACAGATTTTAATAGAGAATATAAGTAGCTCAGGATTGAACTGTAGAGTCCTTGGTGCTCTCTGAACAACCAAGCTCAGAGAGCACCAAGGGCTGAACAGATTTTGTTATTCAAAATTACATTTGGAGAATCACATTTTAAGTGAAGCATTTCTCATGTTCATTCCTCACAGAGAGCCATGACTCATGTAAAACATTTTATTAACTTTTTAGATGGAGACTATTATAGTACTTGGGAATTCATGAAGCTTTTGGACACATAATGTAAGAAAATGCTTGTATTTCTACCTCAGTTGAATTCTAATATAATTTTGGAGTATATTCAGCCTGCTTCAATTCATAATTGACATCTCCACCTCATTATTTGTGGTAGGATTAAAAGAATCACCTTTCTTGCATGTTATACCATTGCTAGGAGGGCAATGAGTGAGATTTTTCATAGCTTCTCACACCTACCTGGGAGGTTCCTTCAACCTTGGGCTACAGCTTCTGCTTCACAGTTCAAAATGTTACTTCCTATTTCACACGGATAGCCTACAGCAAGCCTGATTTAACCTTTTTGAATGAGAAAGTCACACCCATCAGAAACTCTGTTGCAGCCACTGTTATGGAACAGGCTGAGAAAATAATGCAAACAGCCAGTTGCATCTAGAACAAGGGAGACCAGGAGAGTAACATTCCAGTTGAATGTTTTAAAGTTCTGAGACTTTCTGCTCTGCATTCCAGTCCTTAATATCTTCCATGGAATTTACACACCCTCTCCACAGCTCTCTCTCACCTACCTGCAGGAGCAAGACTACCAGGCAGGTTTTTCTAAAGCCATGCAGAACTACATTTTTCCCTAAAAATTTCAATCATTTTTATAAAAGACTATCTATCTATCTATCTATCTATCTATCTATCTATCTATCTATCTATCTATTTGGAGAAGAGAAATTCAGTGAAATTCTTATGGATGAAGTGTGGTACTTTTGAAAATTTTTAGTTATGAGATGGAGGTAAGATTAGATCACCTGGTTCTCCTCTATCCCATATTCAACCTTTTTAATCAACAAATCCAGAAATCACAATTTCATTTTTTCCCATTTTCAGCAAAAAGCCCATAGAAGGGTTCCATCTTTTATAAAAGTACTTGTTGTTTTATCCCTGATCAGACAGGTCAATTTTGCCATTTCTGAAAATTCTGCCATCTTCACAATCCATTCCTCAGTTGTGGGTATTTCAGTATTTCTCTAATGTTGTACATATAATAGTCTTGCTGCAGTTACCATATACAAAACCAATCTCCCGTGAGTCTTTTCTAATTGGTTATCCATAAGTCCCAATACTTTCAATAAATCTAGATGAAAATTATCATGAGGAAATTGGACTCTTTCAGAGGGCACCCAGAGTAGCTTCAGAGTGACAAAAAGATACATAACAGAAAAGAACAATGTTATCAGTAGGGACTTAGACTACCTCCAACAACAAAGCAGCTTACAGTACTTTCAAATGTAGCTAAAATCTCCCTTTCCAGAGGAATAAAGCTTCTGAGGAATTGTATTTCATTCATTCACTTATATTTTAACCTGGAGATACCATCATTTTTTAAGAACACAAATGAAAATACATTATTCAGAAAAAGTTCAAGAGCTGTCCTCTAGCATCACAAGGGTTGGCACAGAAGAATGAGTTGAAATTACAGGAAAGTAGGTTTTGGTTGAACAATGGGGGTGGGGAAAACTTTTTCAAACAATAACAGCATTTTGACAATGGAACAAATTACCCAGAGAGGTGGTAGACTCTCCTTCACTGAATGTGTGCAGTCAGAGGCTAGACACATGCCTGTTATTGATGCTTTAATTTGGCTTCCTACATGCAGCAGGGCTTGAGCTTGGTGGCCCACTACAACTCTATGGTTCATATCACTGTAGCATCATCCAGAGTTGCCATCTTTTCTCATAGACACAATATTCTGCCTTCAACAGCTGAGCTACAAAATGAATCTATTCATCAACAGTTAACGCTTTTCTAGTACAGAAAGAATTTGAAGCTTTTCCAGGTAGGAGGAGCTGCCTGTACTAAATTCTGCCCATTGTGCTGTTGATAAATATAGAATCTCTACCACTAAATAAATGTGACTCCTGGAAGGGACCATTTAGGCCCCTGAATCTAACAGCCTACTGTGTAGTGCAGGAATTTAAATTAAAACATCCCAGATAAATGGCTGTCTAGCCTTGCTTGAACACATCTAATAAAGGGGAGTCCACTATCTCTCTGATAATTTGTTTCACTATCAAATGGTTCTTACTCTTAGGAAGATTTATCTACATTCAGTTGGAATCTGCCTCTGTGTAACATAAATCCAGCATTTTGTGTCTTGTACTCTTCCATAACAGAGAAAACAACTTAACTCTCTTCAGTGTGATATCCACTCAGATATTTGAAGAGTTCTATCATGTCTCTCCTCAGTCATCTTTTTTTCAAGATTAAATATACCCAGCTTCACCAAATCTCTTCACAAAGCTTCATACTTAGTCCCCTGATTATATTTAGTGTTCTTCTCTGAATCTGTTCCAATTTCTCTGAATCCTTTTTAAAACGTGGTGTCCCAAACTGGAAAAACATCACTAGTCAAGGTGAGTCTAACCAAAGCAGGATTGACTGGAATGATTACTTTCTGTAATTTGGAGATTATAGTTCTGTTGATGCAAATTTAGTGTCTTCTTTCTAACTATATGACACTGCTGGATCTTATTCAGTTGCAGATAATTACTTCCAAGATCATTTTCACATGCAAAATTGCCATACCAGATGGCCGCCAACCTATACCTGCACATTTGATTTTTATTTTTACTATGAACTTTACACTTGTCTCTATTGTATTTTGTTCTGTTACTTTTAACTGATCATTTTGATTTTTATTTCTGTCTTCTAGGTTACTTCTATCCTACCTGATTTTGTATCATCTGCAGATTTGATAAGCATTCCCTTCAGTTCTTCATCCAAATAATGAAAATATTGAAGAGTAGCAGACACAAGGCTGATCCTAATACCACCTAATAGCTCTCTCCAATTTTATGGATAACCATTGAGGCATACTCTTTGAGTATGATTTGTAAGCCAACTATGTGGTCACTTTATTGTCATTTCATGCAATCTATAAGTAATCAGCTTGCTGATCAGCATGTGTCAAGATATTTTGTCTAATCCTTTGCTGAAGTCAAGATATACTATGTCTAATATTGTTTCCAAGATGCTTACATAGCAAATCCTTACAATCTGCTCTAGGATAATGCTAGCTATCAATCTCAAACTGACTACAGTAGTCTGAAGTTTTCTGAAACTTCCTTTCCCCCTTTTGGGGGAACTTTTGCTGTCCTCCAGTCCTTTGGCACTTCACTAATTCTACATGATTTGACTACAGTAGTCTGAAGTTTTCTGAAACTTCCTTTCCCCCTTTTGGGGGAACTTTTGCTGTCCTCCAGTCCTTTGGCACTTCACTAATTCTACATGATTTCTCAAAGACAACAAAAAATCTCTCATGGCTTAAAGACTATTGCAATAAATATGTTAAAATTTGAGATGCCTGAGGGCTCTTTAGCATCTTTAATGCTAGTAATATCCATAATATAACAAAGTAATACAAAGTTGAGAGAGAGAGAGAGAGAGAGAGAGAGAGAGAGAGAGAGAGAGAGAGAGAGAGAGA